GCTGATTAAAGAACCGGCTTTACTGACAAGATGCACGTTAAATATTGCATGCGATAGGCTGTCCTACCTGCCTGTCAACGGATGTATTTGCATACCTCTGTACACTCTGTTCACACAGACATGATCCGTCATGAGCACGTTCCATTATGCTATTGCAGAGCGAGCGAGAATGGAAGGCGTTATTTTTGTAATATTATGCACTTTGTACTGTAAAGTTTTCTCAGCGGTGAATGAGACATGAGGTAATCTGACAGCACTGCATTCAACCCTCCACCAATGCCATCTCTCATTGTGTCAATGGTTAGCCTCTGGTCTGCTTGTGCGCATTCATGTGTTTTGGAGGAGGCATGGCTTTGGAGAGTGATTTGCAGGGGGCATAGGATCTTATGCTTTTGCCATTGCTAGCTGGTCTGAAATCGCCTACCCTACCTTTAACCCCCTCAGCTGTATTACATAGAAAGAGAAAGAATGGAATAGAGGAGGAGATGGGGAGGTGGAGGGATGCTGGAAGAATTGTCGCTAGGACGGCTCAGTTACTGCTGCTTACGTACGCTTGAAATGACGATTGACAGGACTGAATGATTAGGCTCCTCCTGAAACTATGTTTGGAGCTTCATTTAAACAATCTTATCATATAGAATTTTGTCATTTTAACAAGCTGGAATATTTTAAAGAGACCACAGCGCAAAAACTATTTTGCGAATCGATGTTTGTGCTTTCGTGCTTTTTTTTTCCCCCACCAAAAAGTGTCACTACTGAACTAGCTTTTGTTTGATAAAGGGACACCAAAGCCGCCTCTCATCGTGTCGCTGGTTAGCCTCTGCTCTGCCTGTGCTTGTGTTTTGGAGGAGGTGTGGCTTTGGAGAGTGATTTGCAGGGAGGGTGGGATCTTATGCTTTCAAAGCTAGCTTGCTATAGCCTCTCCGAAATTGCCTATATTTTTAAGTCAGACTTGTGTAAATTCACAACTCTGGTTTCACAGAGATGTGGATATGTTTGTATAAAGCGTTTGTAATGTATGAATAGTTGAAATATTTTATATTAATTTTTATATTTTATATATAATATTCAATTATTATATTTTAATCTAATATTATATTAGAATGTATACATAAAAAAACATTTGAAAGCTCTATATTGCAATGTGGTTGTATTCTTTTATATACTATCATTCAAAGGTTTGGAGATTTTGATTTGAAATCAATTTTATTCTGTAGGGATGCATTAAATTGATCAAATGTGACTTCTCCTTAAAGTTGCAGTTTGTTACTGATATTTTTTGTACTTCAATTCCATAATCTGCACATCATGTCTTTGTTAAAAAAAAAAGTTTTGAATAAAAGTTTCTAGAATATTTTTAAAGTGTCCTAATGCAGTGAATCCTAACTGCAACCAAAATGCAATGCTATGAAAGCTTTGTAAAAGTGTTTTGTACTGGCTAGTTCTTGGAACAGTTCTTGGAACAGAACTAACATAGTGTGTAGACAAGAGTCATTTAGCTTGTAAAATTAGCACCCGTGACAGAGCTCACTTGCTCACTCGCTCTCTCCCTGGAGATCTAAATTCTCTCTTTGATGATTTACTATTGTAGCTAATAAGGAGGTGTGCCTGTGGCTGGTTGGTGAGGGAGTGTTCACTAGAGCTGTGTGTGTGCATCTGTGTTGGGTTCGTTTACAGCAGAGGGTCTTCCCAGGCTGGTTTTGGGAGGATATGTAGCCCACTCTCTCTCTCTCCAGGCCACTGCGCACACATCCTGAGCGTCTTCTCATGTAGCACTTTAATGACAGTGATCTTTGCCGAGAGGGACGCCCAGACAGGCTCACTTATTCAAGCCAAAATCTGCTACATGCTGCTATCTCTGTGAACACCCTCTTCCTTTCTCTCTCTCTCTCTCTCTCTCTCTCCACAGTTGTCCTTACTTTCTACTCTTCCCCTCTACTTCCTTTAATTCTGTTCTCTGTTCTCCACTTCCTGTTTGTCTTGTGTCATATATTTATTTTTGTGCTTTCATCGACAGAGGGTGAGAAATTTGAAGGGTAAACAGAAGTCTCTGACGTAGAAGTGCGTCTCCTTCCTTACTGTATGTCTTTTTAGAGATGGGAGTTAATGGTCAAGTATTTGACTAGTATTTGTTATATATACAAGTAATATATTGGTTTATGTATAAGTGTATTTTTATTCGTTTATAATCTACCCCCACATACAAACAAATCAGATTAAATTCACAATCACACAAATTATATAAAATGTGTATGTTTGTTGATTTAAGTACATTTGTGTGTGTGTTTGTATATACATACATACATATACAATAATTTAATCCAAGAATATATTAAATATATGAATTATATGTATAAATGTATTTTATATGATATTTATTTACACTATTTGTGTATTTATATTACATTACATTTGTATTTAGTCATTTAGCAGACGCTTTTATCCAAAGCGACTTACAAATGAGGACAATGAGCAATCAAAACCAACAAAAGGGCAATAATATGTAAGAGCTGTGACAAGTCTCAGTTAGCCTAATGCAGTACACGTAGCAAGGTTGTTGTTGTTTTTTAGATAATAAATCAAAAGAAAACAAGTAGTAAGAATAGAAATAGAATAGAGAGTGCAAGTGTTAGAGGGTCGAGTGTTTTTTATTTTTAGAATTAGAATAGAGAGTGCTAGAGTTAGAGGGTCAAATTTATTTGTGTGTGTGTATATATATATATGAATTTTTTCTGCTCCCGCTGTTTTAGAGTCAGCTTTTCCTTTCTGACCAGTAATTATGGGCTGGATTCGAGAAGAGGAAACTGATCTTAGAGCAGCAATTCTGGGCAGTGTTTTCCCTGACTTCCCTATCAGTATATGTTCGAATATGACACCCATCATGCTCTGCTCTCCCCATCCATATGCACACACTCAGCCTTTTAGCCTCATTCTCCTGTCCTTTAGCCCTCTTCTGTCCATCGTTTCTCTCATTTACTCTCTGCATGCCTCTAAGCTTCCCCCCTCTCGCTCTCTATGCCTGTTTTTCTCTTTGCTTCACGCTCTCTCTCGTTCCCCTTTGACACTGTGTGGGAGTGAGATTTGCAGGGTAGATTATAGAGTGTGTAATAGTGTGTGTCAGAGGCAGGGCTGCCACAGTAATTGGTGCCTTTACTCCACATCTGTCTGAGACCAGCAGCATCTGTTTCACTGATCACGCACATACATGCAACTCGCAGAGCGGGTGTTTACCACCAGAGCATCTATTGCGTGCTTTGGGTTATTGATTTTTTTCTTAAGTGGAAGAATCTCAGCTATGTGTGTCACTGAAGTCTTAAGGATGGACAGCATCTGTGGCATGCCATTAACTACCACGGTAAACCATTTCCGCTTCCTTTTGGAAAAAAGAAACACGGAAACTTATTTACAGTAATGCACTTGCAATAGCAGGCATGCATGGAGCACCGCAAATGTGACTGTAACTATTTATAACTCTCAAGAGTTAACAAAAATGTCATTACCCTTAACAAAAATATGATTTGTTCCCTTTCATGCCTTACTAAATTCATTACTTTTTTCTTTAGCAGATTGTCTCCGGTGCTTTTTGAATGGGGAAGATGCTGTCAAGCTCCAAATATGACCAAAAGAAATTCATCATAAAGAGTGCGTATGACTTGTGAACTGAATCACTTGTGCACTTTAATGGGTCGTGAAACCCTAAAACACATTTTTTGGGATATTAACAGGAATGTATAGATTGTAGATCACTGAAAACAATGATAGCACTCATTTTGTCTGTTATTAAAGGGTTAGTTCACCCAAAAATGAAAATTCTGTCGTTAATTACTCACCCTCGTGTTGTTCCAAACCCGTAAGACCTTCGTTCATCTTCGGAACACAATTTAAGATATTTTTGATTAAATCTGAGGGCTCTCTGACCCTCCCATAGACAGCAAGGTAACTACCACGTTCAAGGTCCAGAAAAGTACCAAGATGATCGACAAAGTAGTCCGTGTGACATCAGTGGTTCAACTGTAAAGTTACGAAACTACGAGAATACTTTTTTGCGCAAAGAAAACAAAAATAACTTTATTCCACATTTTCGTCTCTACTGCATCACTTTGGACGCGCGTTCACGTCAGTATCATGACGCGAGCGTGTGGCGGCGTAATGATGATGTCATTACGCCGGATCAGGGTCAGCGCCGCCACACGCTCGCGTCATGATACTGTCGTGAACGCGCGTCCACAAGTGATGCTGCTGATAGAGCTTAAATATTGTTCATCCTCAAATAGTGCTTAAAAACTGTGGATTATAGATAAATTGGTTATTTGTATATTTTACCAAAAACATCATCTTGTGTGCACAAACATCCTTTGAAATCAAAACGTTTCGCTGCTGAATGCAAATGTGACCAGACGTCTGCTGGAAGTAGTTGTGCACAAACGAATGTCTCTTTTCTTCAGTCTTGATCACCTCACGTTGAGATGAGTGATTGCTTGTTCTTCCCCAATATAAAGCCCAAAAATTGTCTTCTGCTCCCATTTTGCAGTTCTGATACGATTGCATTCCAATGTGTTTCTCTATAATTGAATCTCTTTTGATTTATGATGATGCTGCCAGGGTCTCATGGCGCACTGTAGGTTGTGGCAATAAAAGTTTTTTTTTTTTAGGAAGGGGGTTTGTGGTGCAATAACAGCCGTTTCCAAGTAATTGAGAGTTTTCATGGATCAAATATGTTCTCTTGTTCCACTGCCATGTTGTTTGCCTTCGTTGTCAAACCAGTTTTGCCACATTGATGGGGTTGAGGTGAGCTGTCAGCCGCGGTAACTCACGCGCCCCCCGTCATTCTTTCACTGTATGTTGCCTCGGGCGTTTGGATACTGTACTGAGGGTCACAATAAACATTACAGGGTTTCAGATTCCTTTTTGGATTGAGAGGGAGAGAGGACTGGGTACGGGCCACAACTACTACAGCAAGATAACCGCATTAGAGCGTGTGGGTCTGTCCTTCAGGGCTACATCTGAAGAAGTTGAGCTCAAGCAAGCACTAGCATGGCAATACTGATGTTTTGCGTAAAGAGAGACACAAATAACCAGCATTCATAATAACAACTCATTAGTGGTGCACTAGAAAAATTATTTTTTTGCTAATAAATGAGCTACACAATTATATATATATATATATATATATAAAACTATATATATATATATATATATATATATATATATAGTTATGGTGAGGAATGGTGTTTGTGTTTAATTTGAGGATGTACACTGAAATAAAATTACTTTTTGATTTTACTCAATTTTTTTAAGGTAAGTGGTTGCACAAAATTAACTTCCTTAAATAAATTTTGGACATACACTACCATTCAAAAGTTTGGGGTCAGTAAGATTAAAAAAAAGAAAGGAATACTTTTATTCAGCAAGGATGTATTGGATTGATCAAAAATGACATTTATAATGTTACAAATAAATGCTGTTCTTTTCTATTTCTAGTTATATCAGCTCAGATTATATTAAGTTGATTCCAGTATATTCAAGTGTTTTTGGGTAAACGTGAAGATTCGTTCAGTGTTCAATGTTAAGTTACATTATATTGTACATTTAAAATCAGTTTCTGGAGGTTGTGTCAAAGTTACAGTGGTTCTCATTGTGGTGAAGAGTGGCGCTCGTGCTCGGGCTGTGGGTGGATGTTGCATGCAAGTGTTTTATGATTGTCTGACAAGGAAGAGGAGATGACCATATACAAACTGCATACTATTCTATGTATAGGAAGTGGTGGCCCTGGAAATATTTAATCTTACCTAGTTAAGACTAATGGCTAGCATAGCACATTTGCATGGAAATGCAACGAAAAAGTAAAAAGTTACTAGCTATTGTTGATTGCAAGAAGCATCATGCATCTGTGTATCCATCCCAAAAACTAACCACAAGCTCTAGTCTTCAGCTCTATGGTAACCACAAACGGTCAACAGAAACTCTTAAATGTCTAACATAACATTAAACACTAACAGGTCTTTCTACTCAAAATGCATAAAATAACACATTTACCCGCCCAATTTAGTTCCAAAAATCCACTCTCATGTTTTAATTAATGCAAAAACAATAATTGTCAGATTAAGTCAATCTCCATTTTACAAATTTGAGTGGGTTGAATATAAAGAAATTAAATGCAAATGACAATGAAACAAAACTGTTGCTTTGACTCAAATGAAAGTAAACATGCAAAATTAAAAAAACAACAACATATGATGCATGCAAAAAAAACATACATTGACCAGTCTCTTGTGTCTTGCTCATGCCATACAATACATAAAGTAAAAAAAACACCTTTTGATACCTCCAAGTTTATTTGGAGTCATTTGGACTCAATTCAGTTCTGTTTTCAGTTCACACTACACGAGGTATTTGAATTGTGTCTACGTGCTAATTTTAAGAAAACTAATTTCTAAAATGTGAAACTACAGTCAATTGAATCAAGTTAAGCCAAGTTATTATTGGATATGGAGTGTGCTCGCTAAGGCTAACATCATTTGTTTAAATTCCAAAAAATTGGTACCGTTTGTCCCACGAAGTTTGTGCTACAGACATGATTGATAGCTCAAATCATGCATTGCGTTGAGGAAAGGTGTGCCAGTACTTTCCTAAGCAATAAAACTTAGATTTTGCCTGGTGAACAATAAAACTGTGAAAAAAAAAATCCCATAAGTTCACCCAAATCATATCTAGGGACCAGAATATCATAGAAACCTGAGGGTGGACTTGCCTAGTAACCACCCTAGCAACCACCCAGAATAACTTTTGCACATGCAAAGCACACATTTTCATCATAAGATGCTAAAGTGTAGTTGCTCATATTCTCCCCTTTTAATCTGGCTTTTTCAAAGGACTATTGTGTTTCATACTTCACAAAGTCGCCTAATTTATTATTTTTTAGTCCCATTTTCTGCTGTTTTTCTCCTACTGCTCAAATTTGTTACAACACATCAATTATTCATATATTCAATTCATAGTCAATTAACGTATCCCAACTGCTGTGACGAAGCGTTCCAAAGAGGACACTTTAATATGCGAATGTGAGGTGTAGGAAAACTTATTTCTCGTCTGCTGTAGCCTCGGGGGCTTCTGGCAATGAAACGCAAATGAAACGTCCTCGGGAATCCAGCGACGACTTATTATTCCACTCAGAGCGCAGAGAGAGAGAGAGAGAGCTGGATATTTGGCTCGTCATGTAAAAAGGAAACTCTGCAGCAGAAAGAGGTCAGCGGTCATGTCCAGCCACAGAAGCGCCATTCAGGCCTTGACGAGAGGCATCCAACACACGGGGAGGTCACGGCGCTTCCGTTAACACACACACTGTCATCTTTATCAAGTCTCGCTTTGATATTGTAATAGGCATGCGATTTGCGCATTTAAGCGGCTTTCCGTGACTGGAACGTTCCGTGTCGGGAATGATGGAAAAAGAAGTCAAATGAGAGATGGAGAGGGAGGAATGCCGCTTTTTGGGCACTGCCAGGCATGCAGCAAAAGAGACGGCCAAATGCATGCACGCTTTCTTTTGCATTCTTCCTTTCACTCGATTATTCATTTGTTCAACAGGGTTATTATCAGTAGCTAAAACCTTAAAGAACTTTTCGTTACTCGACTAGTGGAATGAAAACATGCAAAATAGACTGTAAAGTGTTTATTTTATTGCACTTTTATCTATTTGCATCTGTAGATTTCAATTACAATACATATCTTTAAAGGCTGTTTTCTCAAAATGATTTTTTTTTCTCCTGCACTGAGCCATAAATCTCCACTTCAGCAGGACTTATTCCTATATTCTATATTCTGAAGGTTTTTATGGAGGAATTTGTTCATTTTTTCTAATTGTATACAACATTCCTAAAACATGCTGACAATATTTTTTTCTGGCTTTTGTGGTGGCAATGTATGCAAATTAGTGCATATTTAATTACATAAGGGATCATATGTATATTCAAACATGAAATTTCTGAAAACTTTGCAATCCTTAATGTTATCAATCACCTGGGGAAATATGGTTAGTTGATTTTTAATCTTACATGTCTCTTCTTAAACATATTTTATTTCAGCTAAATGCCAAGGCAATTGAAATGAAAACAGAAAATATCAAATGAAAATCTAATTCAAAATATGAACAGAAATTATAGTAGTGTATTAATGATACTAAAAGTCACTCATTTGCTCAGTGTTTCTCTCTGGTGCTCGTCCTGTGTGGTTTTGCTCTGCATGTAGATGTTGATGTTTTGTTTCTGATTCAACCACGTTCTGCAAAGTGCATGAGGTGTGATGTGAACTCATTTTTTGAGTTATTTGGAATCACCAGGCAAACTACAAGTTCCACAGCTGGTGAGGCCTTTTATTTTGATCTTCAGGGTAAATGTGTGTCCGGCCAAGTCTGTGTTCTCATCCTGTCCTATTTATCTCTTGTGGATTTCCCCTTTTTTAACTTTTCTAAAACACTGGTGTTCTTAAAGGTATAGTTCACCCAACAATGAAAATGTCTGCCCAATAATGTTTTTTCTTTCTTTTTTTGGGATGACAGCCATCTGTCTTTTGATTTATCTTACTTTATGTTTTGAATTTGATGGTGGTTTTGATTCTGGCAAATTGGAAAAAAACAAAATAAACAAATGAAAAAGTCAATATTACTGATATTTTTGAAATTTTGAAGTTTCTTCACTCCATACATAAACAGTTCCATGGCCGAAAAGGACAAAAAATAAAATAGAATAAACACCATTAAGTTGTCCATATGACTTTGTGTGAGGGGAAACCCCAAATGTGTTTATTCAATTTTAATTGCATTCCTATAGCTCAAACGGAATAGCATGATGCTAGCAACACCAAAGTCATGGGCTCAGTTTCCAGGTAATGCATGAACTTATACAATGTATACTTCAAATGCAAGGTTAAGTTGCTTCAGATAAAAGCATCTTCTAAATGCATAAATGTAAATACATTTGGCCTCCACTGCAGCCTTCTTGTCTTCAGAATATTGCAACTGGTTCATCACTTTTTTTTTTTAGTAGAGTATTTTTTCTTTTCTTTCTTTCTTTTTTTTCTGAGGGGATTTTTCAGAGTTTTTACAAATAATTCTGAAAGTTCTGCCTGTACCTCACACAAGCCCATTGCATGACTTCACAAGTCATATGATCTATTTTTATTAGGTTTTCCAATGGTTTCTTTGGTCCTCTTTGGAACTTATAGGATGTGCTCACTATAGAAAAGACAAATGTTTAGACTCATCATATTTTTAACACATCTGCTGTGTTAAAAATATCAGCATGCTGAGTCAGACCGACATGAGGGTGAGTAAACGATGACAGACGTTTTATTTTTAGCTAACCTAATCCTTTAATCAGAGCATAACCAGCACATTAGATCACCCGTTTCTGGATGAAACTTGTTTGTTTGCTGTAGCCATTGGCCTCTCTTTTAAATTTAAACGCCATCCCTAATGTGACACGCATTCCACAGGCAGCTATCTAAATAAAATTGATTATTGCTTTCAGGCATCCCTAAGAGATTTGCCCTCTGTTTCGGAATATTAACACTCTAGATATGTAATGATGTCTGATCCGGTGTGGATGTGCATGTGTGCGTGTCTGGATGTGTGTGCGCTCTCTATTCACCGCCTGTCCTTGCGTGCCAGTGCGTATTTGGACATGAAGAGCCGTTTAGAGTCCTCCTAACAAATCGGCATTGTTCTGTTGTGGGCCCAGTCCTTGGCTCCAGGAGTGTAAACAGACAACTGTTGGGCGCTGCGCTTCCTGCCAAAACTTCTTATGTGAACATACGCTCCGAGCCCATTCCTCCAAACTCGGCCCTCCACAGTCGGAAACACGCCGCTATTTCTAATTCCGTGCCATTTTCATAAGAACCGTTTTATTTTAAAGCAATTGTAATTAAATGAGTGCCAATTCTCATCTTATTGCTCGCCGCATCTCCTCCTTCCTCTCCTCCCCCTCGCTTCATTATTTCAGGGATGCGTCCATTTTTGTTCCACCTGCCAATAATGGTTTCCACCCACCGCCTCGCAGATTTCCCCCCAATTACTGCATGTCACCCTTTCACCCCGTGGCCGCTTCCCTCCCTCCCAGTCCATTCATTACGCTCAGCCTGCATCAGTCTCTCTCCCTCTCACTCCGTCTTTCTCTGGTCACTCTCTCCGTCTTCTTCCCGTCTTTGTGTGCTGGATTAATATTTTATGAGCTCCTTGATGACGGGTGTTCACTGCTAGGCAAACAGCCCCAGCTGAGCCCCCCAGTCTCCCCGCATGCCTGCTCATCAGTAAACCCGCTAGGGAGCTCTTCTCTCTCAACTCTCTCCCCTTCACTGACTCTCTCTCGCTCTTTCTATCGCTTTCTTCTCCGGCTCTAACTAAATACAAAGAGCCTTCTTTGCTGTGTCAAGGAGATTTCGTGCTTTTGTGTGAGGCAGGTTTGTTATAGTTAACGAAATCTAAAACCATAAATACATAAAACAAACTGTAAAAAACGTTAAACTTATTTTACTTTAGCTTGTTGCCATGGCAACATTTCTTATTTTCATTTAGTTTAACTTGTGCTAAAACCCCCCATAAAACCAATTAATAAAAATTAACTATATATACATATTAAAAATAATAATAAAAAATGACAAATAAACTTAAACTTAACTTAACTTAAACTTATTATATTTCAGCTTTGCCAAGGTGACAATTCTTTAGTTTAACTCGATGTACTGAAATAACTCAAACGAAAACTAAAGCTGAAATAAGAAACAGATAGGCATTAAAAAAAGAAACTAATGTAAATGACAACACACAATAAAATTGCTAAAATTTTACAATTGTAACGAAAACAAAAAATGTAATTAAATAAATAAATAAAGAATATTTTATTATTTTATTTAAGCTTTGCCAAGGTGACATTTCTCATTTTCATTTAGTTTAACTTGATGTACTAAAATAACTAAAACTAAAACAATTTTTTTTAACTATATAGACATATTTTTTTAAAACTAATAATAAAAAAAAATTATTGCTAAAACTTGACTAAAATTAAAATGAAATCAGAAAATATAAAAATAAAGACAAATTAAAAATATTAATAAAAACTACAGTTTAAATGACAATTCAGTGATTCAAAATAACACTGGTAAGTCAAATTTATTGTAATTTTTAGTACATTTCATAACAATAGATAAAGACAAAACCCAGTTCTTTCAGGGAATAACAGTGACACAGTCACAAGGACTAAAAAGACCACAGTAAATATGGACCAAAAAAGTTTGTAAATACTGTGTGTGTGTGTGTGTGTGTGTGTGTATATATATATATATATATATATATATATATATATATATATACAGTATATA